CGTGCATCAACTCATTATTCTCGCAACCCCAGTTTTTATAATTTCTCTATCTACCCCTTGAATTTGCTTTCAACATTCCGATCTTCATTCTGCTCTTTTATGCAAATGGGCGGCAAAAGATAGCAACCGAAACCGGTGCACGAAAGTGCATTGTTAAAAGTTGTAAAAACTGCAACTGAAACAGTAATACTGCTTTCGCTGACCTACGACACTTATGGTGCCGACACGATATCAGTCTCTCCTTGAAAGACCGCGTTGACAGTGCGCACTCTTACTCTACAGCTGTCAGATTTGGCCCCTCCACGCAGAAGATGCACGCGTATTAAATATCTTTGACCACCGTTGCCTTCGTTGCATCACTAGAATACATTGGCAACAGCGAATCACCAACGATGGGGTTCGCTGAAGAATCTTCGCTTCAGGCAGTCTCAGTTATCACCGTGAGTACTGTCATCTCGTTCCAGAAACTTCGGTGGGTGGGACGTATTGCCCCGACTGCCCCATAGTGTCGAATTCGCGCAAGTCGACACTGTCTGGAAGCGGCGACCAAGTGAACAACGAATGAGCTGGTTTCGAACGATGAAGACGTTAACCTTAATACTGGTAGCTGTAGGACGCTCTAGGTTCAGTAGTGTGGAACAGTAAATCGTTCCTCATAAAAGTGCGAAGCGGAGGCCATGAGCACGTACGGTTCTCGAGTATGCGAAGGAATTTCATACCTATTTCACTTATTTATACAGATCATAATATCAGCAAACTTCAGACGTTACCTAAGCTTAGTGGAGGATATGGTTTGACTATATGGTCACTTTCGTTTTGTACAGAGAAAATGAGGCGCGAACTGAAGAGATAGGAATCATTGGACAGCTGTTTCCACCCGGTACACAGCGTCTCTTTTCAACATGTCCTTCAATCTCCCTAATTGATTTTTGACTCGCTTCCCCTTCGTTCCATAAGTCCTCTCTATCCTGAGTTTATCTATGATTTCTTCTCCTTGTTAACCCTCCTTTAGTTCCACACCACCTATACCGTACCGAGCGCTTCTTCACACCCTAGCACCTTTGATACAAAACTCAAATCCGATGCTCGAATGGGGTAGAGCATTGTATTTCGCTCTTTTTCTTCTCGACGTAGGGCCTCTGGGCGAATCGAGGAATCATCTTTAACTTCCAACCTGCGGTCACTGGGTCGTTACTTTATCTTATTTCTCTCGTTACTATTTTCGTTTCTGCTCTTCTGAACTCACTTGACCTTTTTTCGTCCATCTCGTTCTCAGGTGAATAATCACTCTTTTCAGGTTTCTGTCTCCAGATGTTTGACTTCTATCTTCCAAACTTCTTTTTCCCCAAAACTGTGAAATAGTGGAACACTCCTCCCACATCTGTATTTCCCTACTATTATTTGTTCTTTTTCAAAAGCAGTCTTAATTACTTCACACTCTGAATGTCTCCCCCACCTTGTTGTTGACAAGTGTTGCGCGTTTCATCAAGATGCTTACCGAAGCAAGTAATGGACAATCAGAATGAGACGTAGCACGAAGCTATGGGAACCTTGACCCTATGGTCTTGGGCGTGTAGAGTGCATTAGACTTCCTAGTTGGGGGAGTTCATGAATAGCCTTATTCTTGACTGGGAACACAGTATCAAAAACAGCGAGGCTCATTTGCTCTCCAGATGTAGTCAATTGCTTTCTGTTTCCTCATTCTGCTGGTACTCCTAACTTTTAACTTTTCGTTTAACTACCTCTGGTCGACCAGATGCTTGATCAAAAGGAGGCGACCAGAACCCGTGAGCGAAAGTGAAAGTGAGGTATTTGGTAACACTAAACGAACTCCGAGTCACACTGATCGTGGTTTGCATATGTTTGCATATTTTGATTGGTTGCGAGTGATGAGAATCATGTGTACGTGTGTGTGTCTCTGAGATGCAACATTCGTCTCAAGTCAGGATTTATTGATCCAACTTACGATAGAAGTGTCAACCTTTGCCACTCTTGGTGATAACGGGCACCGCCATCCTAGATATGATTCTCAAGACGGAAGTTAAACAACTGCAGATAAAAAGTCAAAATACACGAGTTAAGAGCTGTTCCTCGGTGATCAATTTTAAGATTTTTCATGACTGATACTGTTAATATGAGACTTAGTGAAATGAAAACTATGGTTACGATGATTTAGTGTTCAGCGCAGTCGTTTTTCATGTCCTTTCATAATTTATTGCCTAATATTACCGGTCTGATTCCTGCTTTCCTTAAATAATTATTCACAACCGTTTAGAGCCCATCACCCGTACAAATTATACTAATTTCCTCACCGGGGATTGAGCCGTGAATCACGGGTTGGGAATCGAACCTTGAAGTATGATTTACCTGATCGAGGCAAATTTTTCTGTTCTTACATTGAATTCTAGTTCGGTCAAGCTGTCCCAAATGAATCGGACTTTTCTTAGTGTTGTCCTGTAGTAGATGGTTTGTAAGTACTTACGCACTTGCCAGTAGGTGAACAAACAAGTTGCATTTTCGTGTGGGATGTCGAAAATGAACAAGTCGGTTTACTGAAGATTCCCATTGTAACAGTTGAGAAAAAACACGAAATAATGAACAGGCTCGTTTTTCCATATCATCTTCTGACTAGTACAGTTATACAAGTAGGTAAAAGAAATCAAATTCGCATAACGTTTGATGTGTGTGAGAATTTGATTGGTGAATTTAGTTAGTATATTGCGTGTGGGCACCCATAGCTGACTGGGAGACGGAGTTATCGAAAACGAACACGTCGATTCTTACATTAGTTCCTGTTAACGAACAACCTAAAAATAATTCTGAGTTTGTGGGCGTAGTCAAAACGCAATGTAGGAGAGAAAGACTCATACCGAAAGATGTAGTACGCTTTCAATAACCCTAGTTAAATAGTCCCTAGACCGTCTTTAACTTATACACAGCGACTAGAAAGTTCCATGGTATGCATCCGTTTTTGATTCAGGATGTTAGAAACTGAAGGGAACGTTTTGACCCTCCCCCCAAATTAGTCCCTTGCCGTGATTTTGACACGTTAGATCGCTGTTACTGTCTGTCTCCTTGCTTGCTATGCAGTGACATCGCATAAAAAAATCTCATTTTCGGTTCACTTGTTCCATGCAGAAATTAATGCACAGCTGTTGTTTCGTTGACAGCAAACCAGCGATAGTTTGAGTAGTTCTTTGGATTTGGGAATTCAATTCTTCTTTTTTTTTCTCACGTTTATAGCACGGACAGTCGAGATAATATCCTGGAGAAATGGTATTCCGAAGTCAAGCACTTCTGCCCCAACGTTCCTATCATCNCTATCATATCCCGATACGGATGTAATCCTAATGTGCTTCTCCATCGACAGCACGGACAGTCGAGATAATATCCTGGAGAAATGGTATTCCGAAGTCAAGCACTTCTGCCCCAACGTTCCTATCATCCTCGTAGGGAACAAAAAGGACCTGCGGAACGATGAGCGTGCCCGACACGAGTTAGCCAAAATGCGTCAGGAAATGGTGAAACCGGAAGAGGGACGTCTAATGGCTGAACGAATTAGTAAGTCAGACAAATCGATTTAGTTTGCTTTTGGCCCAGAGGCCTGTTTTTTAATCGTCTGAATGGATGGAATGCGATGATTGAAGGGTGAATCAATCGATCGTGCGTGTCCAGTTCGTCGCATCATACGCCCTTCGGATGGGGTCAAACTTCCAAATACCCAATACACATCGATGCCCAATCGAGCCTGTGACCACTATCACAACCAAGATGGTGTGTAGTTGGGTGGGGTTTGTACGCCTCTCTTTGGTCGGTTTGGAATCGGGATTTTTAGCCAACTCCCCCTAGTTGAACTGCTGGTGGTTCACCAACCCGGATATTGGCTTTTCGTCCTTTTACTTTGGTGGGGAAACATCGCCACGAGAAGGCGGTGAGTAGGGCTTCCTCAGCAGAGGCTATTTGAGACGCTAGGTAGTCTAGGGGAGTATTTCGCGAGGTGCAAGGGGTGATCAGTCGCAACCCTAGACCTCGACCCCCGACCATACTGAGGCTTTCAGAGGCTGGGTGGAACTGGATATATCGTGCCCACGACCAAATCACGGAACTTCTTTTCATAAAGGCTATTTTACGAGATTTTGTTTGATTGGATCCACCATTTAGCTAGGACGAATTGTTACTGATGTGTACAAGACTGACTGCTTGGTGTCCGGATGGTGTTGACATGAATCCCTTTTTTTTGTCATTCGACATCAAACACGTAACGGGAAGCAAACAAACACTGATCCTGAACATGATCGCGTTCGGACTATGTACAGGTTGGCATGACAAAGAAAACCAGAACAGAACCATCTGGTGTGTATAAAGGAAGAATGGTCGAAGAGCTAAAGACAAACAGTGGATTTTCTGTAGGCAGGTTGTATCATCGTGACACGCAAGAAATGCCACCGTTCAAATGCTTAGGAATGTGCAATCAACCGAGGTTGCGGACAGAACGTGTATATTTGGCAAGACTCCGTGAACCGGAATACTAATGATGTGGTCACGGAGATCAGTACCCGATATCAATATGCCAGGCTCGACTGTATGGTAATCGGGGAAACTCGAGTGCTAATCGTCTTACTCGTTTGGTGCGCTGGACCGAATGTGTGAAACACGGTCGACACAGACTGTCGACATCAGTTATGAGCGTGCACGGTACCGCTTAGGTAGGTAGGTAGGTTTGTGATGTAACACGTCTGGCGACAGCGGGAAGAACAGCAAAGTGAGAGCGTCAACAAATAATGTTCTTGTTTGTACCAATCAATCTCTCGTTATGACAATAATTATCCTGCAATTCCAGCAAAACAAAACAAAACTGAGTTGAATTGTCTATTTGTTTTTTTTCCTATCCCACTGTTCATCCTGGTTCTGTTCATGTTTTCCTTACAGATGCTTATGCATACCTGGAATGCTCAGCAAAGACGAAAGAAGGCGTTCGCGAGGTATTCGAAACCGCTACCCGGGCCGCTCTGTCTACGAAGCGCAAAGGAAAGAAACCGTGCGAACTGTTGTAGTTATTGTACTTACCTACCTGACATTTACTGATGATGATGAAGATGACGAGGAGGAGGATGACTACAACTTGTCGTCATCATAAAATTCCAAACTGACCATTGATCTGGTCTTCTCATGCCTCGCTGTTTCCCGTGAACACCATCTCTATGATAATCATCGGTTTATCAGTTCCTTTCTGCGATAGCAGTATCCTTTTTTCTTTCACAACCACATCACCTCGTGCGAACCGGATAGCACGTCACAGATCAGACAATCTAAAGCTTTTGTTTGTCCGTTTGTTTGTTTGTTTGGTTATTTGCATTCATCTATTTACCAGTCTGTCTTCCACCGCTTTTTACGCACGTTCATCTCGTCAAGCAAGCACTGGTACCTACGTACGCATGACTATCATTACTACTAATTTGCGGATCGACTGGAAAAAGAAACATGTCGACATTTGTGTTCTAATTTTTTTCCGTTCTCCGCGTTGTTTTCCACCTCTCTTCCTGTGCTCATCTTCCTGTTCCTCAGACTTATTTAGTCGCGCCTCATCCCGACTGAAAGTTCCTGAACAAGACAGTCTCACATGCCTACTTCGCCTGTCACGGGGTTAACAATTTGGTCAGCGAAAGCGATTGTCGTTCGTGCGGAGGAAGGTTCGACTACTACCCGGAGCTTCTGTTTTCCCATCCACAGACTTGGACTGCGTGATTTTTTTCATGCTTCTTCTATCCTACACCCGCTGTTCTCACGATTGGCGGGTCCGTTCGTCCGTATGCGCGCGCGCGTGTGTGTGTGCATTCACTGGCTCGTTCGTCCCCCCGCGCTAGTTCATTGCTTTCACCACATCATGTTTTTCATCCCTGTGGACGCCTTTTTGCGGTGTTTTTGTTCATCCTCGGATCTCACAGTTAGTCTCCTGCGGATTCACTCTGTTAGATCCCACTTGATTCACTCGCACCCCGTGCCAGGTGTTCTTGTTGTTCCTCACTTCCCAAGATGCGCGAACCCTTGCCGCTTACCGCTATCCCTTTCTGTCTTTTCAAAAAGAATTGCATGCGACTCGGCCTCCTGTTCAATCTGGGTTTTCTTTTTTTCTAATGCTGAAAATTTCATCTCATCTGTTCGGCCCTTTTCCATGTCTTCACTAGCAATGTGTACGTAAATACTCATATACATATATACATATACATATACATACAACAGACGCAATATACGACTCGGGTTTACGTCGACTCACTCAGCCAGTTACACCTCGTAAATGCATTTGCTATTCCGAACGCTCACGCCTGTCTCGATGTCGAGGGAATGGGTACTCTGTTACGGAGACATGCAACCCTTCATTTGCGACAGGGACCCGCATACTTTATATAAAAACGTAATGAATAGAAAATTCTTGTTTTTGGTGCCCAAGTCAAGATGATCACGTAGTCTTTCTCTTGGTTCATGGTTTGAACTTGCTATCAGTTCTTTTGATGAGTAGCGCGACAACCAGGCAGTAATTTATCCAGTCAGGAAGCCATACACCGGTATTTTCAAATAAGGGGAGTAAGACAGTCGACTGCTTCTATGTATCGTCCCCTCGCTTCGACTACTCATGGCCAGACACTGAGCCGTAAGACAAGCCCTGATGACATGTCGATGGGGGCTGTTCCCTGGTTGAATCGATTGGTGAAACAGCGAATTACTGCGGCTCGATGCGAGAGATGCCACTCATCATGGAAACATTGCATTCAGCCTTTGATAATCTAAGTTCTATGTATTTTTTTAGGATATATTTTTGTAAGGATAACCACCTTAGTTACGAAAACCTAATGTTCACTCATAATAGGTTTGAACCTAGGCCCTACGACAACCCACCTCAGGCCCCGGTGGGATAGTAGGCATGGCATTGGGCCGGACGACAGCGAAACTGGCAGTACCCGTAACTTAGGTCCCACAATAAGCCAGTAGCGGTGACCTTAGAGCTTCCACAGTCAGCGGTCAGATCGGATAAATTTACAGCCTAATGGCTCTGATGTATTGATGTTGCTTGACAAATAAAGGGCTAATTCTCGTGAGCGAAGACTAAACAATCAGGGAGTTCATTGCAGTAGGCTGCTCGACTGTCAGTGTGACATGAACGGCAATCAGTTTGGTAGGAACCCTTATGGTTCTTGGCTTATAAGTTCGTCTGTCCGATACTCCCGTCGTATGCCTGGTTAGTTACTAGCACGTCCTCGACGCTGAATGTGATTTGGAAAGAGTAATTCCCATTCATCACCATCATATCAGTAATGCGGGGAAATCAAGATAAAGAATGCATGCGAGCACGTTAGAAGACGCTTGCTGCCTCGCCGTTACTTGTGAGTGGAGTGGGATAGTTATGATTGATTTTAACTGTTCACTCTTCAAACTTCATCCTCACGCGCAATNAATTTCACGCGCATTAGAGTGGTACATATTCACCGTTCCGAGCGCGATTTGAACTCCGGACCCGTCGCACGGTGCCAATCATCAGATTACATATATTCAGGTGTCCTCTTCGAAGTACACCACCTGCGATCTACCCTCTTTCTTCAAACGATGGTACAAACTGACCCTCACATGGGATCCACTCCAAAAAGTTCCCCCCTGGGCAGTGAACACAACACGGAAACACTCGGGTACGGACATCACTATGCCTTTAACAAATCATGTGTATTAGTTGGCGCGCAATCTGTCTACATTTTTATTGACCTAACTGTACAATGTTCGTGGCCCCGATTGTGGTTCATAGACCTCGTCTTGATGATTATGGGTCTGGTTGGTTTTCAGCTACTGTCCTTCATCTATTCGATGTTTTTCCCGTCGAAATTATTGCTTTGTTTTCACAGCAACATACGCATGTAAATTTTCATGCTCAAATCCTTTGTTGGGGCACAAGGTGAAGATGGTTGGCACTGGTTGTGCAATTCGGTGCCACAACTGATCTCATGAATATTGTTCTCTTGATTAAGAAAATGAACTATCGGTTAATTTGCCTTGTTCGAGTGTTCCGTCCACCATGATGATTCGGTTGCAGACTGGGATTGTGGGACGCAGATCGCTTCTAATATCGGATCGTTTCAGGCTTTCTTCGCGCATCATGCGCCCCTGCGTTGCAGATCTGGTCAAACCCGTTTGGGTTTCCCGGCGCACCAGCTGGCACTCTTGTTTGTACGATCGATTTTTATCCGTAGCACTGACCGTAAGTGTGCTTGTGTGTGTGTGTGTGTGTGTGTGTGTGTGTGCGGACTTCCTTACCATAGTAGTCAGTTCCATGCTGTCCGTGTCTCTATCGCTTTACCTCCTTCCTCCAGGATACCCTCTTCTATCGTTTGTTTGCCTTGCGCGCACACACTTGTGTCTGTCCGCAGTCCAGGAATGCGCTAGGGCACAGCTGCCACTACATTAAGATCAACTGCTTGCCTCTTGTTGGCAAAGGGAATTGACCGCATTGGAGAGCAGGGCAGGGAGCCTACTAGCGTGTTTGTGCGTGTGCCGCGGCACCAACAGCATGCTGGGCGTTCGGTGCTGAATTGTGTGTGTGCGCGCCCGATCGCACACTGCCGACTCGGATTTCGTCAACATTTTCATCCTGTTGACCAAATCAAATGGCGCGCGCTTGCCCATCGAACCCACGTGCCCTCTTTCCTCGGAACACCTAAACAGCAAGCAGGATGCCAAAAACCGACTGTAACAGTTGAAATTGTGCTTAGGTCCGTTAGAGGCATTGATTGGGTGTTTCATCCCCGTTTATTGATTTTTTCGTAGGGATTGGCCACGTGTAGATTGGTGCCTCAGCGGCACTTGGTGTTCACAATTGTTACGTGTTGGTCAGAGCGAATATTTATAACGCTCGCGATTTGACGGTAGAGGCTGTTTCGCAATATTCATATTCGCCGAGCTTGCAAACGTTTCATCGTAAGTCGAGGTAAAATATTTGGTGCTTATGAAATGGCGCTGTTCTGCTCCCGTTCGTTCACTCATATCGGTTATTCTTCAACTATTTCGTTCCCTTGTTCCAGCTTTTTGTTTAAGCCAGTTCACCGTTGCACTGGCATAAACGAGGATTGTTCTTCCGTTTTGGTTGGAGCCCTTAAACTTGTTGTCCGATCAAAACGTGCCCACTCCTTTGCGTCATTCGATCCTAGAGTCTCATTGACCTCGTACTCGTAGTCCACCTTGATTGGCATGTTCACCGCGTCGATCGAAGCATATGCCAAGTCCCGAGAAATTCTCTGGCGTGTTTTGATCGAACTCGGTCAATGATGTGTTGATACCGTGCCTCCGAAAAACCTCATCATTGTCGCACTGCTAAATACAATGAAGCGCTCATCGCTGACTGCTGTCAAGCTCACGATACCTGAAAAGGTAATGCTAATGTATAGGATAAGGAAGAGACGTCTGTTAAGGGTGAAGCGAGAGAATGATGCAGAGTACACCACTCAGATACACTGTCTGAAGGATTCTTTTCTGGACAGAACCAGCGCCAATGTTGTCCGTTCGCTGTTGTATCCGTCACTCTTCCAGTTACCAGATCACTTGCCCCCCCCCAGTCTGGAAGATTGGCGGCATCTAGCCTATCAACCATGTTCATCTTACGTCAGGGACCCCCTGTATGAATCCCAAAAATGTAGTGACGTAATTCCCCCCTCCCTTTAACAGGTCAAATCCCAGCCCACTTTCATCTATCCTTCATGATCGGGTGGGTCGACAACTGTCTGTCAAATAACTTGGAATTATTTTTAACCGTAACCCCACTTGGTCAGACCACGTCAAGGACGTTTTTCTGAAGGCCAGGAGGCTCCCATTTCACGTCTTAATTCTCTATCCTAAATCATTTCCTAAAGCGTTTTTTTTGCTTGCTTTTTGTCCCGCTGGCTTTACGGGTAACCAGTATTCTTCGCCGGTCCTCTTAACAAGGACCTCAAACTCACTTCCTGATCCCTCAAGTTTCTGTTGGCATGTCTGACATGTGGTGGCGCACCTCCTCAAGTCCTGTAAAACATTCTCCAAT